AGCTATAAATGTCCCCCCCTCAATCTTCTCTTTTCTAAACTAAATAAACCCAATTCCTTCAGCCTTCCCTCATAGCTCATGTTTTCTAGACCTTTCATCATTCTCGTTGCTCTTCTCTGGACCCTCTCCAATTTCTCCACATCTTTCTTGAAACGTGGTGCCCAGAACTGGACACAATCCTCCAATTGAGGCCTAACCAGCGCAGCGTAGAGCGGAAGAATGACTTCTCGTGTCTTGCTCACAACACATCCGTTAATACATCCCAGAATCATGTTTGCTTTCTTTGCAACAGCATCACACTGCTGATGTTCACAGTGTGGCAAGGTCATGAGAACATTCTTTTCTCAACCTCCCCGTGTCAATAGTGAGGATTCAGTCAGCATCTCTACACTGCCTGGGGCTAGGGGTGGACTGATCAACCTCCCCGTGTCAATAATGGGGATTCAGTCAGCGTCTCTACACTGCCTGGGGTTAGGGGTGGACTGTTCGCACCTCTCAGTCTCAACCTCCCCGTGTCAATAGTGAGGATTCAGTCAGCATCTCTACACTGCCTGGGGCTAGGGGTGGACTGTTCGCACCTCTCAGTGCTGTAGCGATGTTTAGCTATACCTGGCCTGTGACATGCCCCAGGGTGGGTCTACATTCAAATCTCAGAGCGGTTGCTGTGTTAGTCTGTATCTGCAACAACACTGAGGAGTCCCGTGGTGCCTTAGAGACAAACAGGTTTACCTGGGCATAAGCTTTCGCGGGTAAAAACCACTTCCTCGGGCACATCGCTGACTCTTTAAGGTGCCACAGGACTCCTGGATGTTTCTACATTCAAAGTGACGCCAGCAGAGATGCTTTGGCCAAAGGTGTGAAAAAAAACACCTCAGACAGACATTGCCATAGCAACGAACCCCCGAGTGTAGACACAGCTATGCCAGCAGAAGAATGCTTCTATTCATAGAACCCTAGAATTGGACGGGACAGGTCGTCAAGTCCAGTCCCCTGCCCACATGGCAGGACCAAGCTGTGGATGCTATCTTTCGAAAAAGCAGATCGCTTTTTCGTTGCACTTTTGCAATGTAAACGCTCTCTTTGGGTATGTCTACACTACCCTCCTAGTTCGAACTAGGAGGGTAATGTAGGCATACCGCACTTGCAAATGAAGCCCGTAATGGTAGTTCGAACTAGGAAGCCTAGTTCGAACTACCTAGTTCGTGCCCCGTGTAGCCGCGCGGCACGGGGTTCGAACGAGCGGGGTTTTAAAAATGGCAGCGCCCCGCTTATGCAAATGAAGCCCAGGAAATTCAAATCCCGGGCTTCATTTGCAAGTGCGGTATGCCTACATTACCCTCCTAGTTCGAACTAGCGGGGTAGTGTAGACATACCCTTTCAGAAGACGTTTTTCCAGATCTCTTCCAGAAAAGCTTCTTCCGAATGAATCCGTCAGTCTAGACGTAGCCTTAGACGTGTGAGAGAGGAACGGACACCTGCCTGAGTGTGCAACCGCCTGAAAGAGTTCCTCCAGAAGATAGGATCTGCTGCCACTCCAGGAAGGACAGGGGCCCTTGCACATGGTAGGGTGAGAAGACCCAGGTACCAAGTATCTACCTCCCTCAGATTTCCCTAATTTGCCCCGGGAGCAAATGCACCCCCATGTAGAGGGCTTCAGAGTAGGGCGTACAAGGGTCTGCCAAGGCCCTAAAGCAGTGGTCCTCAAACATTTTGGCCCTTAGCCCACCCTGCTTAAGGAAGAGTGACCAGGGGAGCAAAGCGGACAGGGGGCTGCAAACAGAGGCATTTAAGAGGGAGAGCAAGAGATCCCGCCGCTGAACAGGTCTATGAATGGGTCATTGCCTTTTACCAATTTTTTTTCACTGAGGGGGGGCGGTCGGCAAACTTCAGTTCCCAGCCCAGGAGGGCAAAACGTTGGCGAGCCGGGGCGTTTTTTGTAGCTGGAGGAGCTGCAGGCCCAGAGCCCCTCTTCTTTTCGCTGTTCCAGGTCAACGGAAGTGGCGGGAAGTGGCGGCCAGCATGTCCCTTGGCCCATGCTGCTTCCTGCAGCTCCCATTGGCTGGG